GCAAGAGGATCATCCATCCATTCATGATCCCTAAAGGGGGGAAGGGAGTGGATCTGATCATGGGAGTCTACGATGTCAAACAAACTGAGCTGTTTGTGGCTCATATACTCTTTGTACTGATCTTTATGTTTGACTATTTGCCGTGAAAACAAAGATTTAAACAAAGTAACATACCCTTTTCCATTTTTGGCATTTAAATACATTTACTAAAATAAATAAAAAATCATGTTGTTCTTATACATATTTTGCATTGGAGTATCGTATCAAGCTAATGTTATAAATTCTAAAATTGGAATCACGATTTCTGGATGATAACTTCCACTGTGCTTGAGAATAAAAGATATATATCCCATGAAGGCCTGTTTTAAAGAAATACAGTGAGGGAAAAAAGTATTTGATCTCCTGCTTGATTGACTAATTGCTTTAAGAGATCCCTTTAAGAGAGTGCGCCTAATCTCAGCTCGTTACCTGTATAAAAGAAACCTGGGAGCCAGAAATATTGCTGATTGATAGGGGATCAAATACTTATTTCATTCATTGATATGCAAATCAATTTATAAAATTTTTGACATGCGTTTTTCTGGATTTTTTTTGTTATTCTTTCTCTCACTGTTAGAATACACCTACCATTAAAATTATAGACTGGTCATTTCTTTGCCAGTGGAAAAACGTTCAAAATTAGCAGGGGATCAAATACTTTTTTTCCCTCACTCTACATTTACAAACCATTTTGGAAATATCTTTTTGCAAACTCAAATTCCAGTGGAGCTTGATGCAGGTAGCCCCCCTTTCTCAGAGATATTGTGACCCTTATTTTGATTGCTGAAACCTCTTACAGATTTGGTCCCAGACAGAGACACAGAACCCACACATATAACAGAACTGCTTAATTTGCACACAACCAATGTAGAGTGCTTTACTAGAAACAGTTAGCAAACCCATGAAGATCTGTCCACGCAATATGCAAACCTCTGGTTAAAAACAGACATATCTTACTACCCAAATACACAAATGTTTGAGAAGAATAATTAGACATATGACAAAATAATGAAAAATGTTTGAAAATATTTAATCTAACACACCCTGTTCAATCTTCACTAGGGGACACCTTACAAACAGTAGACAAGCTTTACTGGAGATGCTATGATTCATGTAAGAACAACATTGGACATATTTACAAGGATATAAATTGGAGAACCTTAGTCTTGGGTTCACTTTTGTTTATCTGTTTGTTAATGATCTTAAAACATAAAAAGTCATGTGCCAGTGTTTGTTGCTGACACAAAATTAGATAAGGAAATGTAAAGTTATGTATTTTTGGATGAAGAAAACACAATCAGCTTATACCTTAATGGGTTCTGAATTGGACATAATTGCAAATGAGAAGGACTTTAGAATAATTACAGACAAATGACTAGTCAACGAATTGCAACGGGCAGATAAAAATGGTATTAATTCAGGTGAGAAAACTATAATGTTTACCCTTTGTACAATCATGGTAACAATGTGTGGTGCAATTGCAGGCCATGGTTTTAAAGAAAGTCATTAAGGAACTGGATAAAGTGCAGGTAGGTTACAACATTAAAGGCAGAAAGAAGATTTTGTCTACAACACAAGAAAGGCATCATCAAGAATATGAACAATGTGCAGTTCTCTGTCTAAAGAGGTTGGTTTATCAGATTATGGGGAGATTTTTTTTTTTTAATATTCAACTTGAGGAAACAGCTTGTTGATAGAAATGTGACATTTTGAAATTAAGAAAGACATTTTCCTGGTTCTTCAACTTGCGTTTTTTTTATCCTTACAGCTGCAGGGTTAATACCTGGGCTGAAGTGGTCTGGGTGACTATAGTGATCCTTTAATACCAAAGTTCTTTGCCAAAGATTACTATGTGTCTGTGGTGGTATTGTTTATTTACTTGGGCAATTTATATAGGTTTTCTTTGTCTGTTTTAGACATAACTTTCATATTTTCCTCAAAGAAAGAGTTACTGTTTGATGTGATATAAAACCCAGAATACTTATTGTGACAAACTTCCCTCTCTAAGTGAGTTTGCCACAAGCTCCTGGAGGAGCCTGCTTGCCAGCCTCCTGCCCACAGACTATGGGCCCTTCATGGAAACCTGTAAAAGACTACCAAACTTGACCGACCGTTAGCACTGATTTCATGGAACTGTTTTGGGCATAGGACCATGTGCACGGTCGGTCAAAATTATTACTTCCAGGAATTTCCTGAAACCTTGAACTTATCTGGGATTTTTGGATATGTTGGTCACCCAGATCAGGGCTATCAGGGGATGTACCATTTGTGGGGATATCATGTGTTTTCAGGGGTCAAGTCCTGGGGAAAAAAGTGTGGGAACTCACCCAAGATTCCCAAGTGTGTGAGTGCTGGATGATGGGTGTTTGTGTGAGTGCTGGATGATGGGTGTGTGAGTGCTGGATTGTGTGTGTGTGTGTGCTGGATGATGGGTGTGTGTGAGTGCTGGATGATGGGTGTGTGAGTGCTGGATGATGTGTGTGTGAGTGCTGGGTGATGTGTGAGTGAGTGCTGGATGATGTGTGAGTGAGTGCTGGATGATGTGTGTGTGCTGGATGATGGGTGTGTGAGTGCTGGATGATGGGTGTGTGTGTGCTGGATGATGGGTGTGTGTGTGCTGGATGATGGGTGTGTGAGTGCTGGATGATGGGTGTGTGTGTGCTGGATGATGGGTGTGAGTGCTGGATGATGGTGTGTGTGTGCTGGATGATGGGTGTGTGAGTGCTGGATGATGGGTGTGTGAGTGCTGGATGATGGGTGGGGGGGACATTTTTTTTAACTTTATGTGTCTATATTTTTTTATTTTATTCCCCCCTCCCTGCTTCTTACCTTGTCAGGGAGGGGGGAGATCGCCTGGTGGTCCGGTGGTATGCTGGAGGGAACCAGCCGCTGCACAGAGGGGCCATCACACGCTGTGTTCCCTCTCCAGCTCTAACTCTCGCGAGACTCGCCTGTGCGGAGCGTTGCCATGGTAACAGCCGCGGGTCTCGCGAGAGTTATAGCTGGAGAAGGAACACAGCGTGTGACGGCCCCTCAGTGCAGGGACCAGGGCCGGTCCTGCAGGACAGGTAACGGGAACGGCGTTCCTGCTGTGGAAAAAGTGCAGGAACGCCGTTCCCATGTGTTCCTGCAGGACTCGAGCCCTGGTTTTGGGGTACTTTTGGGACTTTTTAGAAATGTATAGTTTTTCTGTGTTTGGAGATAATTGGATTAGAATTAGTACAGTTACTGATCCAATTATCTCCCAAGCAGAGGGGAGGGATTGTGTGTCATGTGTGGGAGTGCCTTACATTGTAAATGTGTTATTATTGGTTTGTAAGTTTGTGTCTCTGTCCCCAACAAGGTCCATGTGGGTGTACACCTTGCTTGGAGATTGTCATAAAAGGCCAGCATGGCACCATTAAAACCTATTCCAGATTACACTCCAAAACTGTGTGTCGTCCTGTTATTGGAGGCAAAGAAGATTTACTCCTGTGTCTGCTGTTCCAGCTTGCAGGGGATTTTACGGGGAAAGTCCTTGTAAGGACTAGAGATAATTCCCCATTCGGCTTCAGGAAGGAGCAGTTCCAGGGCCCCAATCAGAAGTGCTGCGGTTTGTCCAGTGTTCCAGCTAGGAAGCGGTCCTTGGCGGAGGAACCCAGCCAGGGGTACAGGAAGCTCCGTTACACTTATAACATTATTTATACAGTTGTGAAACAATGAACCTTATTCACAATGCAACAGTATAACTATATACAACCAAAACATTTATTCTAATTTAAACCCCATTTAGAACAGTACAGACAACTCTGTAAAAGTATCAGACTAGAGTAAATATGCAAGCTCCCCTGCTTTTTTATTTTATTCTGAAGACCAATGACAGAGATGTATTTGCACCCTCTTAAACTGCAGTATTTACCTCCAAGGGATGGGATTTTAGTGACTTCATTGTGGTATTTGGTTTTGTACAGAATATAGTCTGCAGTTGAGTTCTGCAAGCTAGAACTCGACGTGTCCTGGGAAGGTGTGTTTGTATATAGTCTATATGCTACATTGTAGATTCCATGGATGTAAAGAAAGTTTTACATTGTTACCTTGGCCTGCCAGTTATCATCAATCAGCATTTTCTGTCTGATGCTTTCCTGCAGCTGCTCAATTGTATTCTGATATGAAGCAATCTTTAGCTCCCTGAAACAAAATTTACTTTATTTAAAAGAAAGTAAATATAATGGCAAAAAGCACCACCACACCTATGTCCAAATACAGCAGTTAAACAAGGTAATAACTTTTTAACTGTTCAACCATGAAAGCAGAGACGATCAAAGATCAGTTACACGTTCAAGTGAAGATTAATGGTTACTGTCACTTTAAATTCAGCTTCTTGGACAGCTATACCACGAGGTAATCATAATAACAGTACAAATAAGTGCAGACACATTTCCCATAAGACAGTCTGTGTGCGCTGCATCATAGGAGACGAGGGGTATGTGGCTTATTAGTAGCTTCAATCAGTTTCAAGGATCTGCCTTTTCTGAAAAAACTCCACCTTCTTGTGCATCATTCTGCTTATCCTGTGCATTGCTCACTTATTTCCAAACTATGATTTATGTACAAAGCATTTCTATTAAATATTTTATGGCTTTTGTAGCATTCCAGTTTCAGTGTGTCGGAGATATACATTTGGCCCAGGAGTAGTTTTAAAAATATTAAAGTCAGCTCACTTGTTCCGATGATGGACTTATTAAAAGGGAAAACAATAAGAATGAGGAGTGGGTGCATGCTGGGTTTTGAGCAAAGTGTGGATTAATTGACATTAGTTTGCAAACTATAAACTGTCGACATTTCCTTCTAGTTCTGATCCCTGGCATGTATAGGACACAATCACAAGCATTCCATTTTATAAAAATAGAATAAATAAGAATGATGGCTAGCAGGAAGCGCTGGTTTAGAGGTAGTAATGAATGGTTACTATATTTACACACTCTGGATAGCTGAAACCTTACATGAACCATAAGTTTTCCAGCCGAGCAGTAATATGAAACCGGAAGATAAAGTATATCACTGATATGCACACAAATACACTGCAATGTTCTGTCTCTACTCAAATGTACTGTGTGTTATCTGTACATTGAAAACACCCTACTGAGGTGATGGATGACCATGACACTAATTGTTTGTGAACTATATTTCACATGACATGGACTGGCTGAGTACCATTGGAAAATAGTAGACAAACATCTGCATAATATGAATATGTGTCAGTCTACTTTAGCTAAATCCTACATTAAAGGGTTACTCCAACCACCATGACCACTTTAGTGATTTGAAATGGTGATGGTGGTAGAAACCAGAGATATGATCACTTTGTCTTGGGGGCCAGCTGCACTCCCGCATACGTGAACCCTATTATTAGCTGCTTAATATCAATTCTGTGCAAAAATAACAAAGTCTTGCTCTCCACTTCCTCCCTCCCTTTCCACACCAGCTCAGAGCATTTGCTCTGAGCCGATGAAATGGTCAATCAAATGCTTCTCTATAAGAAGCATTGGACTGGACTGCACAGTAACATTGGAGAGCAGCACCTGGCTCTGGATTACAGGCATTAAGGAGGGGAAGGGGTTATTTACTAATGCCCAATAGTGCATTTCAAACTAAAATAAAATGTGTGTTATAAAGGGTTAGAGAAACTTTTTAAGAGAGAAAAAAAAATTATATTAAACATGGAACACAACTGCAAATAGTTCTACCTGTGAGGACGCAGTTTTAATCCAACGTTAATCAAAATACACTTGAGATCTATACAAACCTATCATTTTGTAAAGTAATGACTTCTTGTTGATTTTGTTTTAACATTTTTTTCATTGTTTCCAACTCAGTCTCCAAACGCTGACTTCTCTTTTTGTTTTGTTCATCATTTCTCTCTCTTTCAGCGATTTCTTCTTGCAATGCTTTGGTCTTTTGTTGAACAAGTGCAAGAGAATCCTCTTTATCTCTTAGCTCCCTAGTAAGTCTGGAAAATGTAAAATAAAGCTTGTGAAATCAAACTCAAAGTGATTTTATTTAGCAAGGGGCTGTTCCTGGAACCTGGGTGTTCTAAGACATCTCTACTCAGAACCGGATCTGCCATAAAAAGTGCCAGTGCTCAAGTATTGGAGGCCCTCTATTCTTCTACTGTTTGCACCTGTGTCTGTTTTGTAGTTATTGTTCGATATTCATGTTATTAACCCACACACAATCACATACAGCCAATTCCACACATAAAATCACGTTCCATTCAGACAACTCCATACATAAATATTACACTCAGCCAACTACCACAATCACACTTGGCCAACTCCCAAACACAACTATACTTAGCCAACCCCTGCACAATCACATACTTCCCACTCATGTCTTTTGCTTAGGGAGGAGTGAGGAGGGGTAACGACAGGGCCCTTCTCTGAATCTTGCACCGGGGTCCAGCAGTTCCTAATTACACCCATGAGATTGGCCATTAAATTGCAGCAATTTAAGGCTCATACAAACTTGATCCACACAAACACTGAAACCCTGCAATCACCCTTTTAGAAATTGAGACTAATTCAGTCTATATGTTGATACTAGACCAATAACCACCTACCTAAGCTCTGTGCTTTCTCTATCATATTCCATTCTCCGAAGCTTGCTCTGGAAGTCATTAGCTTCTTTTATCTTCATTCTAAATCGGAGGAATAAATAAGGAACAAAAGAGATCTGTAAAATTAAATCCTGCACATGTATTGGCACCATAATTATTAAAACATAGGACATTTGTAGGCACTCAAGGCTCAGTCAAAAAGCAGGCATTAATGGAACATAAAACAACGTGGCAATGTTTTAGTCACACAATATGGTGAAATTGGGCAGTCTGGAGCAGCCTTCTTTAACATGAAGATTGAGATCATCACTTGAGAGCGGTCCATGTTTCTACATGTTATTTGATACCATATGTATTAAGGCTGCACAATGCATGCCAACAAACATGATATCATTTTATAAAAATAGTTTGAGCAGGAAAACTGATAATTTGATTAAAAATAGAATTTATTAAGTATTCTCCCCCTCCCAATAATGACAGAAAGTCATTCCAGTCTTGAGTGAAATAGGAGAGCCGGCTTTAAAATTCACATTAGTCCTTTAGCCTTATGCAAATGAAGTTACATAGTGGCAATCAGACTTTTGAGGACTACATGTTCCACAATGCACAGCAACTACAGGAAGCTGCAGCAAGCAGCACCTGCTGTGCCAAATGCAATTAATTTTATCCCTCAGAGCATTTGGCACAGAAAAAATGAGGACACAATGTTTACCAGACAGGGACTCATTGTTCTTATTAAATTCTAGGTACATTTTATATATTATTGTAGTAAAACAGAAGTAAAGGTATAAAAGCAAAGCTGCACCAAGGTAGTAATACATAATAATGCACGAGAGAGAGCACACGAAGGGTACATCCACTGTAAATATTTTATATAAGCATGCACACCATTTACACAAATTACAATAAAATCACTGATTTACTCAACAAAAATAAAAAATACACAAATATAACTCTCGATTGATGATCTGTGTTCTACTTATAATCAGTTTTTCTCCATTTACTAAACACCCAGTGGTATCATAGCATTTATAACTTTACTATATGTCTACTATGCTACTTGAATGCGCGATCGTATGGCATGCTTCTCTTTTACTTGCGGGCACTATGCCCACCACCTGACTCCCGATAGAACAACCTTTATTCTTGCTAAATATCTCATGCATAGTAATGTATTGTCAGCAGTTTAGACAAGTTCTTCTAGCGTACTGGTAGTCAGCCTTTTAATACCTACCGCCCACTTATGTATCCACGTTGATGATAACATTTCCTTACCGCCCACCGGTATTTTTTTTTTTTTTTACGGAGGGTTTTTAAAAAATATGCATCTTTTTATTTTCACTTTATGCATGTTTATAGTTATAGAATTTAAATTAAATACAATTCAGCATTTACATCAATGCAACGTCTACTAGCGCGAGAGCTGCTTAAATTGAAGAAGAAGTGTAATGTGAAAACAATAACGTTTATTGAAACTACCTTTAACTGGTGATTAATTAGATCCTGGAGACTGATGCTGCAAGACTAAATATTTGATATGTGGTTCGATTTTCGTAAGGAACAAACAAAAGTCTCTTTTGGTGATATTCAGACTGTTTCTCTGCTCATAATATGATTAACACCACTAAAGCCTGATTCTACAAGATATGTGGTAGGAAAAGATATCAATAAATTGAATATCATTTTACACATATTTGGATATAAGCCAGGCATTTTTTTTTATGTTGCCAGAGTTTTTAGTATTCAACACTGTTGAAAAAAAATGTGCAATCTTAATCATATTTAACTATTTAAGTTCTAACAGTTCTTCTTGGCAAGTTATATCAGTATCAGCAACAGGGATGAATGCAAGCTCTTCTCTTTGCACCTCGGGAAAGATTTCACAGAGGCACCCGACACGCATGTGTGCGCTTCCTTTTAGCCATCATGAAAGATTAAGCGTTTTTGTGAGGTTTCTCTCGATGGCTGGAGGGAGGCGTGCACTGAGCATGTGGTTATGCTGGAGAACCAAGGTTTGCAGAGAAAGTACACCACCCACCATAAAGACTTGAAAGGCCCACTAGTGGGCAGTAGGGACAAGGTTGACTACCACTGGTCTGGCGTGTTCATTTTACATTACAAATGAAAGAGTCTACTCAAGAGTATAAATACGAATTACGTTATTGACAACTATTCATAAACTAACTCCTTCCTTTTTTCTGTATTGTATTGCCTAATGTTTCAATAAAAGATAGATTGACAACAACAAAAAATACACAATATATCTTTATGCTTTTTCAGTGGAGAAGGAAATTAACCATTAGAGAGCTACAATAGTAATTATATATAGTAAGATGAAAAGAAATAAGAATTATGAGGACCAAGGCATGCTTACATGGAAGGTAGTGATTATTATAATCCATTTGCTCATCTTTTTTTATTTTCTTTCTTACGATTATGGAATACAAACCATAACGGGGCACTTTGGGGATCAACATAACATTAACGAAAACAATAGTTTTTGATTAATGAATGTTGCTATAATTGCATTAATTACTATATGTCATCCCAGGTCTGCTAAACTCCAGTCCTATGGTCATTCTCACCAGGGGAGGGCTGGCAGCCTTAGGCCTGGAGGGCAAAACCAGTCAAGTGGCCCATTGCACCACCAAATCAGTTCACCATCCATGCCCACCTTTTCCTGGTTTTATAACGGATATTGATGTTATGCTAATCAGTAGCTCTTTGCCATACCCGCTCCTTCACGGCTCCAGGCACTGCTTGTTGTGAGTGTGAGCCACTGTAAATTAGGGGCAGAGGGCACTTGCACTGCGGTAAAGATGGGGCTGGACAGGAGGAGAGTGCAGTGCAATCAGTGCACTCCCCTCCTGTGGGTCACCAGTAGACTGGTGCACCTGCCCAGGATCAGAGCCGGTGCAAGGATTTTTGCCGCCCTAGACAAAATAAAAATTTGCTGCCCCCACATGTCACATCACAATGCCCCACCCATATGAATATGAACTAACGCCAGTGCTGCACACAGTGTGTGTTTACATTAAAAAGCCTGCAGGGACCAGCTATAGACACCAGAACCACTCCATTAAGCTATAGTGTCCCTTTAATGTGAGGTACATTATAGATTAGTGTCACTAATAATATACTAGATTGCCTACTTACAAGCAGATGAGGATGATGATGGGCTGCAGTTTGGCTCCACTGGTCTGGTGTAGAACAGGATCTCTGGAGGCTGTTTGCAACTGTGGTCACAAAATTCAATGTTCTGGGAGAATTGGAAGCAGCTCCATTTTTTGGGGCCCCTTACACAGCTCAAGGTCTGGGCCCCAGGGCCTGACGGTGAGTATGCCCATAAGGCCCACTCATAAATTCCACCCACCCATGAGTTCGCTCACAGGGAGTGGAGTGTGTAGGGGATGTGTTATGTGTTATTGTAGAGGATCTAATATGTGTGCTTATGGTATGTAGTGTATAGGGTTACCAGTTTGTGCAGGTGATGTAGTGTGTTTGTGTGTAGTGGAAGCAGTGTGTATTTGTGTATAAGGGATGTATTATGTGTTTCTGGTTGTGTGTAAGGGATGCATTGTGTGAATCTGTGTTTGTATGCATAAGGGATGCAAAGTGTGTGTCTGTATGTGTGTGCATTGAGTGTAAGAGATGCATTGTGTTTCTGTGTGTATGTAAGAAAAGAAGTGTGTGTGTTTGCATGTGTGTGTACGGGTTTGCATTGTCTGTTTCTGTGTATGTGTGCAAAGGATGCATTGTCTTTGTGTGTAAGGGTTGCATTGTGTGTGTGTGTAATGGATGCATTGTGTGTTTCTCTGTGTGTAAGGGAAGCATGTTGTGTTTCTGTGTATGTATAGGGATGCATTGTGTGTGTGTGCACGCGCGTAGTGTGAAAGAGCTCCCTGTCTTGGCCCCTGTCCTATAGAGCTGCCCCTTCTGTCCCGTAGAGCTCTCCCCTGCACCTTTAGTGGTCTCTCCTCTCCCCCACCCTCCCCTAGCGGTCTCTTCTCACACTCACCCACCCTCCCTGTGCTCTTCTCATCCCCCCTCCACCCTCCCTGTGTTCTTCTCACTCCTCCCTCTATGTGTTCTCCTCACACCCCCTGTGTTCGTCTTACCCCCCTCCTCCCTGTGTTCTTCATACTTCCCCCCTTGGTCGTCTTACTCCCCCACCTGTTCTTCTTACTCCCCCACCTGTTCTTCTTACTCCCCCACCTGTTCTTCTTACCCCCCTTCTTCTTCTTACCCCCCCTTCTTCTT